AACCGACTGCGCCACCCAGGCGCCCCTGAGCCCCTCTTTTTAAAAAAAAAATTTTTTTTAATGTTTATTTATTTTTGAGACAGAGACAGAGCATGATCGGGGGAGGGTCAGAGAAAGACAGACAGAATCTGAAGCAGGCTCCAGGCTCCAAGCTATCAGCACAGAGCCCGATGTGGGGCTCGAACTCACAGACCATGAGATCATGACCTGAGCCAAGGTGGGACACTCAACCGACTGAGCCACCCAGGTGCCCCGAGCCCCTCTTAATAATAGATTGGTCTTCCTGTGGTCCATACTTTCCGTGAGTAACACCTCACTTCTTGCTCATAGCCCTTCATTGTAGGCCCTATCATGAATCCTCATGGATAAGGAAATCGCTGTCCGGGGTCCCAGCTGGCAAGTCACAAAGCTTAGACTTGAGCCCAGGCAGTCTGGCTTCAGAGCCCAAGGTCTTCGCCACTACTTTGTACTGTTTCCTTGTCACCCAGTCAGCAATACAGAGGGAAGGGGATGTTACTTGAAGTGATAGGACAAAGGAGAGATAGCAAATGGCTGAGTGTCCAGGAGTAACCACCACTCAGAGGACCACTGAGACCCTAGGGCCATCTTCTCTCCACAGGACTCTGAGAACAGTGGGGACAGCGGATACCCCAGTGAGAAGCGGGGTGAGCTGGATGACCCAGAGCCCCGAGAACATGTAAGGAATTCCCCCCAGGGAAATGAGACCAGAGTGTTCTGTTGCCTCATTGTCCAGGGGGACGGAAGGGTGGGGAGGAATGTGAGTGCGTTGTGAGAACATAATAGGTAAATTGATACCCAAGATCATTTCAGATAAAAATAAAGGCAGGGCAGAAGATAAAACAGGGTTACGGGGACCAGAAAGTTTAGTAAAGGGACAAGTATGGGCGATTACATAAGACTGAAAATGGCAGACAACTCTTATGAGGAAACTGGAATCTAGGGTGCTGGGTAATAGGCTGGAATGGTGTGGGCGGAAGGACGCCGTTCAATGCGTGGTGTTCTGGCCATCCTGGGGAGTGCGCTGGAGGACACTGGTGCGGGTGGCTCAGGCAGTGTCTGCCACTTAGAGGTTTTCCCTTGTGCCAGAGTTGAATCTGAGCATCCAAACCAGTCTTGCTGAGAGCCCTTTGGTCTCAGCTTTGTTACTTCGAATAAAGACCTATTATGGGAGCTTTGGTAAGGGGAAGGAGGTTTTCTTGGTACTTACCTGCCACGATCCTGTGCCTTTGAGTCATTTCCATCTGTGCACACAGGGAGGGTGAGAGGAAGGCTGTGGGCACACCAGCACATTGGTCCTGCCTGTTACCCAGCATTCTCTCTTCTTGGCACATGAGTTCCAGCTGCCCCTCCTAGAGGCCAGGCCTGTCCCTTGGGAGCAGGGTCTCCTGGAGGGGGCTGAGCCTGTCCCCTAGGAGGAGAGTCCCCTGGAAGAGGGTCCCCTGGGGAGGAGAGCAGGACCAGTTCTTGGGAACTGCTCTTTGGCTCACTCTACCCTTCACCTCCCTCAGGGCCACTCAAACGGTAACCGGAGGTACGAGTCTGACGAAGACAGCCTGGGCAGCTCCGGACGGGTAATGCTCCCTGAGGCAGACTTGTCATGACCACGTGCTTGCCTTTTCCAGCCCCTGTTTCTCCTCCCTGGTGTCACTGCTGCCTGCCCAGGCGCCTCACACATCAGCTAAGGGAAGATTGTGCAAAGGAGCCAGTCCCCTTGGCAAATACTTTTGAGCCCCTGGACTGGGCGGGACACTGGGGGATCTGCGGAGAGGCATAGACACAAGTAGGATAGCCCACCCTGGAGGGGGGCTATAAGGGCCACGGCTCACATGGTAAAGTAATGCCTGTGTATAAGTGCCTCAGAGAATTCATTCATTTACTTATCAACCACCCAGTGAGACAGGCTAATGTTATTCATCCCCATTTTACATACGAGAAAACGGGGCTCTTAAGCAGCTTTCCCCAGGTCACCCAACAAGTGTTTCTAACAAGCATCTTAGAAGCTCATTATCATCAGGCAGATGTGGGAAGACCAATCCTTGGGAACCCTTCCCTAGCTGAACCAGAAACACACGTTGAACCTCTCACCCTCTAGTCTTTGTGAGTCTCCCACTTGCCAGGTCCTTCCTCCTACTGTGGTCACATCTCCTCAAAGCCCATCTGCTCCCCCAGACCGGCCCCCTGTGGCACCTCCTGCGGGAGCCTTTCCCAGTTGCCTCAGCAGGCTTGACTCTTGCTCCGTCCAGAACACAGAGCATTTACCACGTGGTGTTTACCGATGGTGCAAGGTCTCAACACAGTGTAGAGCAGGGTTGTTTAACTGTGGTGCCATTGACATTCTGACATTCTGGGCTGGGCCCTTCTTTGTCGTGGGGGGTGCCCTGTGCATTGCAGGATGCTTAGCGCACATATATGCACGCAGCTGCCTGGCTCGGTCCTGCAGGGACCTTTGGAAGAGGGTGTCTGTAGCTGGAGCATGATTTGTTTTCCAAACCTATTCCCCGAAGCTTCCTGTGGATGCACAGAGGAAAGCGAAGTGGATTTGCTGCAGGGTCTCGAGTCAGACTTTTCTGGCCCATCATGTGGGTCACTGGCCAAGGAGGCAGCTTACGGTCCAACCTCCCCAACCAAATCCTGCTTGATAAACGAGTGGGAAACACTTTGAACTGCTGCAGTCCATTCCACTGGCCTTTGTGTCCTCGTGCTATAATATTCCCTCAGCGCCCGTAAATTGGCAGGATTTGAGGGATTAGAAATGGAGCCGTGTTTGTCCAAGAAAATTTGATACCTTAAGGGTTCGCCCCCTGCATCTTGCCAGCCAGGCTCACGCGGTAGGAGCAACTGACGGCTGGTGGTGGGGCCTGCGTCCCCAGCCCCTCATTCCCTGGCCTGTAAACTTCCATGCCCGGTTCCCTCTCTCAGGTGTGCGTGGACAAGTGGAATCTCCTCAACCCCTCCCGCCTCCACCTGCCCAGACCTTCTGCCGTGGCCCTGGAAGTACAAAGGCTTAACGCTCTGGACCTTGAAAAAAAAATCGGGAAGTCCATTCTGGGGAAGGTACGGTGATGCCCGCTTCAGAGCCCTTTTTCCGCTGACCCAGAGCCCAGCTCACGCCTCTGCTCCGCTAATCGCTTCCTCCCGCAGGCTGGCTGGGCGGCCCTGGGTGCTTCTGCCCAGGCAGCTGGGCCAACTGCCAAGTCTGTGTGGTAGGTCCATCTGGCCATGGTGCGCTACCACGAGGGCGGGCGCTTCTGCGAGAAGGACGAGGACTGGGACCGCGAGTCGGCCATCTTCCATCTGGAGCACGCGGCCGACCTGGGCGAGCTGGAGGCCATCGTGGCCCTGGGGCTCATGTGCTCACAGCTGCCCCACCACATCCTGGCCGACGTCTCTCTGAAGGTGAGGGGCGGCAGGGACCCAGTCATGGGTGGGAGGGGGTGCTCAGTCATCGTCCTCTCCATCCTGCAGGTTTGTGCATGCCCCGGAAACTTCTGAGCCCCAGTGTGGGGCCAGGCACTTGCAGGTTAGCTGAAACTGGTAGGACTGGGATGTGCCACTGGGGAACGAGTGCAAGGTGACAGTCATGATTCCAGGCGATTATGACATGGCATGATGGGAAAAACAGAAAGTAGTGGTGGAAGCAGACGGGAAGGGCCCCGAGTGGGTTTCACGGGGTCGGTGAAACGCCTGATGGTGGGTTCCATCTGTATCCTTGGTGGTGAGAACAGAGCCCGATGCCCAGTACATATTCAGTGTACATTTGTGGGACGGATGAATGAGGTGACCTCTGAGTTAGGCCTAAAAGCTGAGTGGGAGTGAGCCAGGCAGAGTGTGGGAGGTGAGCTGTCCAGGCAGAGGGGGCAGAGGTGACAGGATGGTCAGAACTGGAACTTCATTCATTTGCCACTGATGTGAGCAACTTCTTTGCTGAATCAGATAATGGTTTTAAACTACTGAAACACAGGGGCACCTGGGTGGTTTAGTTAGTTGGTTAAGCGTCCAACTCTTGGTTTCAGCTCAGGTCATGATCTCATGGTTCATGGATTCAAGCCCCACACTGGGCTCTGCACTGACAGCATGGAGTCTGCTTGGGATTCTCTCTCTCT